GGTTGGGCGCATTCAGATGAGAACAAGGCGCACTCTGAGGGGTCACCTGGCCAAAATCTACGCAATGCACTGGGGCTCCGACTCCAGGTCCATACCGGTCTCTCTCTCTCCCCGGCCTCCCGCTGGCTCGTCCCCGGAACTGGACACGGGCTGTTTAAAGGGACCTGTTTAAGCAGCGGAGGCTGGACGCTGGTGGCATTATTGCACAGGCGTGGGCTTCTGTCTGACTGAGGTCTTCTATAAGAGCCATACTGCTGCGCTGAACCACTGAAGCCGGGAGCCCTGCTTGGAACCTCTCTCAGTTCTCGGCCTCTGTGCAGAACAGCTTTTGTCGCTGCAACATTTTTCAGTAGTTCAGTCGACAGTTTAGAAGAGAATTAGAAGGGGTGTTTGTCATGTCTTCCCTCGTCTTCCAGGCACTTCAGGTGTGTCTGTGCTCTTTCCTCCAGTTGGGAGCATCTGGAGTAAAGGCAGATCAGTGCTTTTGAAACTTGCTTTGAGGAATAACCACCTGGTGTTAACCAGCCTGGTGCACTGAAAGCCTCAGGGTTCACTTTATACTGAGCCTCTGGGAAGGTGCTGATCATTTTACTTGGACCTGAATGCGTTTTCTCAAGATCATCTGTGTCGATTTACATAAATTGGTGAATTCGTAGTGATTTCACTCTGTTCATTCTTCTGCCTGTTCAATTGTAAACGTAGATTTCTGCTGGACCTGATGTGCTTTTTAATTGATAAGAAGAGAAATACTACAGTAGCCTAGAACTGATATTGTTATTATTTTTAGGTAGAATCACAATCCTTGGCCATCAGAGAGTACGTCTAACTTTGGAACAACAATCTGTCCTCTGTGTTTTCACAACATCTGTTTTTTTTTATTTCTGAACAGATTACTTGTCAGTGCTTCTCAGGATGGCAAATTAATTATTTGGGACAGCTACACGACAAACAAGGTAAGGATTCCTTGTTAAAGGGCATTTATTAGTCTTAATCCCGGATGTGTTTCTGGTGCGATGGGTGTCTTTTAGATGACATTCAGTGGATCGCGTGCTTTTTTTTAATATACTGCGATGAGCATAAAGCTTCTGTGAAGTTTAAAACTTCCAGCTGAGGTCTTGTGGCCCTTGTGGAGTTGGTAAGCTGCGATTCCCTGCTCTCTCCAGAT